GAGAGAGAGAGAGAGAGAGAGAGAGAGAGAGAGAGAGAGAGAGAGAGCGCTGTTCCAGTGTACCAGCATGAAGCTTTTATTTTCCTACCTCTGCTTCTCAGGTTGCCCCAGCGCTTGCCAACTGCCAGCTGCGGCCGCTCTAGGTGTGGTACATGGGTGGCAGCCTGCCCCTCCTGTGCCTGCTCACAGAGAAACATCTCTCCAGGGCAGCCTACCCTCCCTATCCTGCCAGCCTGTCCAGGAATGCTTCTGGAAGCAATTCACTGCAAAGTTTCAAAGACATGCTTTGAACTCTGTTCTGTCTTGGGGTGTTAATCATACTAACAGACTGGCACACGGGCATTTAGATTTTCAATTTTATCCAAATGAACCAGGGTGTGGTAAAGACTAGTTTAGTAGATGGCCAGAATTTCCGAGGTGATATTCCAGCTGTAACCATAATATATATTTTAGAGGAATGTATTCATTTCCTTTGTGCATGCCTGTAGATGCATATACACACTTATTTGGAATATGATATGGCACACAAATACAACATCACACTGTAGTTTACACATAGAAAGCTAACTAATTCCTGTGTCCCTGTTAATAAGGGCTTTGGAGCTGTAGGGGCAGAGTGAGGCAGGGGAAGCAGAGTGAGTAGCTCCTGCGAGAAGGGAATGCACACTTAAGGGGAGAACAAAGTAAGAAAGTTCTGGTCAGCATCTTTCTTCCTGGAACTATCAGGCATTTTTTTTTTTCTACAGTAGTTTAAGAAAGTGTGTATGTATGTGTGTGTGTGTTGGAGGAAAGGGCCTGGAAGACCCTTCAGGAACTACCAAAGAAAAGCTTTTGAACTAACAACATAATGGAGCAATTTCACGATCCCAGGCAAATGTGGAAGTGATGAAACAGCAGACCCTATTTTAGCCCTTTGATCATCTGGGAATGAATTGTTTTGTGGGAATATTAAAAGGTAATGAGAATGAAACAAAAGAGAAGTCGGCCAACACAGAACAGAAGGCTGGTGTTTTCCAGAGTCATTATGTGCTTTTTAAAGTAAATTATGTACCTTTAAGGCCAAATCATTAGAAACACTTAGAGTCCAGTTAAATTCAAGTATTCAAGTGAAATTAGGATGAATATTATCCCACTCCTCTTTGGGACCTGAGTTATTTCAGTTGTTTCTCATTAAAATTAGAAGATGAGATTTTTAAGTCATTTTATTTTGAGATCTCAATACCATTCTTTTGAACTCTAGAAACTTTTTAAGGTTTAGATTCTCTCACTAGAATTAACGTCTTTAGAAGGCAATCTTTGTCCTGTTGCTCATAGACCCAGGTCAAGACAGTGTCCTCATTTAATGAACTGCCTGTATATGCCATGTCTTCCCCAGGCCCCACCCAACTATATACAAATTATAGTCCCTCTAGATTCCGGATTCAAGCTGTTTGTTTGTGGTTCAAACACTTTATATCCTCAGAGGTAGAGCTGTGAAAGAGACAGAGCTACTGTTAACATTATATTTTAACCATCTGACACCTAAATGTTATCCCATAGGGGATGAGAATAGAATATATTTGACTGTATATTGTGTTATGTGTATTATATATATTTTATATTTAAAATATGTGATTGTCTGTTTTCTAGGACCCCTTTCTATAACACCTGGAACCAAAACCAAACTCACTTATTTAGCAAAAGCTTTTGTGTTTCTTCTCTCTCTCCTTTCATTCTTTGTTTCTTTCTTCCTTCCTTTGTTTCTTTCCATTTTTCCTTTGTTTCTTTCTTTTCTTCCTGTCTTTTTCTCTTCTTTTCCTTTGTTTTTTTGTTTGAGACAAAGTTTCTCTGTTAGTTTTGGAACTCACAATGTAGACCAAGCTAGTGTCAAACTTACAGATTCTCCTGCCTCTTTCTCCCTCGTGCTTGGGGTTACAGGTGTGCACCACCTCTTCTAGGTGGTTTTCATGTTTCTTATTTGGTCCTTACAACCAGCAGTATGTAGCAAGATTGGAGTTTTAAAAAAATGTATATATATATACATATATATGTTGCACTTTAGTGACCTGTTTTGCATTTTTGTAAAACCTGGTTATTGAAAATAACACAAGATCTCTAATTGTTTGTACCAACCAAGTTAATCTTAAGAATCAAATATGTTAGGTTTAAAGTTTTTATTTTCTCTTGGAAATATTTTTTATTTCTCCATTTAGTGGCATCTCCTCTCAGCATTTGTGGTGTGGTGATTTTATTATTTCTCAGTGTGTTCCCTGAAACACTTGGAATTTACCTGAGCTGTATGAAATGCTGTGACATTAACAGGAAGCTGAAGTCAGAATTAAGGTTATAAATGGCAATTTCCCAAACACTTGTGTTCTTAATATGGCATGTGGTGACAAAGGACTTTTCCTTGACTCTTGTACTGATGTTAAGGCCCAACTGAGACTCTTCAGGACAGTGGGACAGCAGGTGTGCTCCACGCCTGAGTTCCCAAGAGTTACTTTGAGGTCTGGTTTACACTGGATCATCCAGCCTCATCCTGACCCAGGCTTTGTGGGTAAAGCTGAGATGGATGAGCAGTGCTTTCTGCTCTGGACACCGCTCTAATGAACAAATGGAAGTGCTCTTGTGTTCCCTGGCACAGACCATGCTTTCTCCCTGTGAGTGGGGACAAAGCAACATGCAGATACGGGCCTCTGGCCTCTTCTTTGGGAGCTGTGCCTACTCTTTCCATCCTGGGTAGATTGGCTTGAGGAGAATTTGGGCCTTGGCTTTTCTTTAGGAAGTCTTTTAATTCTCGGTGGGTGTGTATGGCGGTCAAGATGCCATCTGCTGGGCCCTTTTTTCAGGTACTACAAGCCAGACTTGTAGATGGCAGTTTGCACGGTGCTGCTACAATCTTTCTAGATCAGTAACTACAACAGGCCCTTTATGAAGTTCGTGTAAGGGACTTATATTTAGAAGGGTAACTGCGGAAAAACACTATTTGAGGGATTGTAGCTATGGTAGCACATGTGTATTTGACCATGCATCTCATACTCACCATAATTCCCTATGGCTTAAGGGTAGGCAATGATACCACAGACAATAGTCCATGCCTGAGACATTTTGAGCCATACACTTTAACTTTTCCTAGTGTGCTTTGTGTTTAGGGTCATTTTACTGTCATGAGTTTAGATAAAGTCCTATCTCAAATTAAAAAAAAAAGAAAGAAAAATGCAGTTTTCCTAAGAGTAGAATTCTTAAACTCTTAAACTCCACAAAAGTAATAATAGCATCAAATATAGGCCAACCTGTTTGGATATTCATCTTCTTAATTTTCTTTCATTTCTCCCCTCAGCTTCCAAATATGGACATTTACCTTAAACTTTTTTCCTCTTCTCTCCTCTGCTCTTCCTTTTGATCCTGCTTCCAAAACTCCCGATGTTACCACAACCCTTTGTGATTCCATGGGAAAAGCTGAGTCTCTTTTTTCCTCTCTCTTCTTCTCCCTCCCTTCCTCTCTCTCTCTTTTTTTTTTTTCTATGCTGAGCTCTAGACTGCCATTTTGGTGGTTGTGGTTTTCGGTTTTGTCTTGTTCTAAGATGTGGGGTTTCCTGTGTAGCCCAGGCTGGCCTGATGCTGACACAATCATCACACCTCAGCCTCCTGCACTCTGAAATTATAGGTGTGTACAGATTTAGAGTCCCATTTAAACCCTTTCTTCGTCACTTCCTCCCTTCCTCCGTTCCTTTCTCCTTCTCTCCCCCATCTCTTTCCCCCTCCCTCTCTCCTTTTTTTTTTTCCTTTCTTGCCACCATCCATGAATAAGTACTGAAGGAATCACTGTGGCCCAATCTTACTTTGAAGAACTGATAGAGACTTGATGTTGTTTTATTTCTTCTAACAGACTTTTACCGCTTCTATTTACCTCACTGTCATCATATACTCTGCCTTGGTTACAAAGATAAATAAATATACCTTCATTAAGTTTATGATCTATTTGAGGTATACATAAGGCAGTTAATCACAGAAGGATATATAGTAGTTCGACTTTTATCCTAAGTGGTTCCAGTGAGAAACAAAAAACAGAGCCCATGGTAGGCTTTATCACATTAAATATGTATTTCAAAAGCATCTGTGATTTAGTGCGGATGACAAAAATAAACTCTGATTTCTTCATGTATTCATTTCACATTTGCCATGTAATGGAGCAGCAATGAAAATGGACCTGATAACTTAAAAATTCAGCCTGAGTTTATTCAGAATAAATATAATTGTAAAGTATGATACCTCATCTTGAGGGTCCTTCTTAGATAGATTTGTCGAGATATGAGATGATTGTACTCTAAAGAAATATATATATATATGTGGAGAAAAAAAGCAATCCTACTCCATTTGTCACACATTGAAGCCACAAAAATTGGTCCAAGCCAAAGTTCCCATCAAGGTGATATTCTGTTCTTTCTGTCTCCATCACTCACGTCAGAGAATAGCTTCTTTTCCATCAGAGTAGCCACTGGATTTAGCTAACCATTCCTGCTCAGTACTAGCTTCACTCAGCTACAGATCCCTTAAAGGAAAGGCCAGTCTTCCTCAACTCCAG